GCATCTCATGTTTATTGACATGTATCTTCAGAGATATATTTATCATTTTGAGTTCAATGAATCGATCAAGTCAGTTTCCTTTCTCTCCTTTCTCTCATTCTTTTCCTTTTCCTTTTCATTTATTTTTTTATTTATTTTATTTTCCTTTCTTTTCTTCCATTTGCCCTTTCCTTATATCTCTGTAGAAGATTTTTTAATTTCAAGATCCTTTCAAAAGGACTTCAAGGTTGTTTTTAACTTAACATATATTTTTATTCTAGTTCAAGACACTCCGATTTGACCTGATATGCGTATGGATAGACTCAACTCCATAAGGATTCAAGATAACTTGAGTGAACCATGTTGGCATCCATTTTTGATGTGATATACACGGAACATCCTAGCTGAGTGCATGATACACCAAAATAATGTGCAATTTTATATATTTATTTTATGCTTAAATTTGGTGATATTACACTTTAAAGAATTGTATTTCCATGTTTTGTTGCAGACATATCGATTTTAGGCATTTGGAGCAAAATGGAAGAAATTTGGAGTTAAAACAAAGCATTTCAGCATAATAGCACCAGAGGCACCATTTTACAGAGAGCTAGCTCCAGAGGCACCAAAAAATTGGCGCCAGAAGCTCCATTTTACAGAGAAGCGGCACCAGAAGCGCCAGAGGCCCCGAAATCCAGAGAATAGCGCGAACTTCAATAGGTTGACGCCAGAGACAAAATAAGACTGAGTAAGGCGGTTAGGGACTATTTTTGGGTGGTTTTTGAAGGCTCTCGCATTTTGATGGATCCAATCAATTCAAACACCTCATGGAGTGATTCAATGCATATAAACACTTTGGAAAGACTCTTGAATGAAGGGACTTGTCTCCTAGTGTGAAGAGATGTGCCTTTTGGGGAAAAAGGAGAGAATTTTGAACTCCCTTGAAAATGAAGGCTAACCCTAATTAAAAAAAGAGGAGTCTAGAGAAGAGAGCGGGGCAAGAGTTTGAAGAGAGAGTTGGCGTGAGTGAGAAGTCTTGGGAGAATATAGGATTTTGTTCTAGAGTTGTAAGATGAGAGGGAAGGTGAAATTTCTTCTTCGTTACATTTCTAAGAGAGAATTGAGTGTGATTGTAAAGAGAGAGAGTATTTAAAAGGAACTTCAAGGGATTTGCTTGAGAATGAATTTTAGATAAGTTGTGTTCTTTCCTTTTTTTGTTTTGTAAACTTGTTTTTATATATAAAATCTATGTTTTGTTGTATCATTCTCATGAATTCTGAGTAGTCTTCTTTATCTTTCTCCCTACAATGAGATATAGTTTTGTGAAGAATTAATTTTGTTATATAAGATTTCAAATGTCAATAAATTGTAATAATAAATCAATAAATTGTAATGATTCAAACTCTAATCTTCATTTACTTTTTGATCTGACCAATTGAGATGTTAAAATTTGTTGATAAACATAAGATCCGAAATGGCTATGTTTTCTGTAACAAGGTAAGAGTCGCATTTAATTTCATGGGTGAGAATGTAGTACATGGGGTTGCGTTCAAATAAATAGGAAAATATACTTTGATGGACGTAGAATTGTTGATTTTAAGGTGAGATATTAAAATCCTCAATTTGATCTAGTTGTTTGGAAACTAAAGTGAGATTGTTAGCCCTCAAAGGAGGGAGAAGTGAAAGCTCTGGAGTGACAGTCAGTACCTTCTTAACCTAACCGAGGATTTAATAGAATGATTTTAATTACTTCACAATTCATAAACTCATTGTAAAGGGGAAGAATGTTTTCTTAAATTTGAATACTTCACCACAAAAATTTGTTTAGTCTTTATAAGTTTACTTTTGAAGTTTAGCAATTAGTTCAGTTAACTTAATTTTTTTAACTTCATTTCATTTAATGCACAATAAATTTACTTTATATTTGTTTTGCTTACTTAAGTTTTATAGTTTGAATATTGTGTTTGACGTTATAACCATAAGAATTTTCAACTTTCTGTGGGATCGATACTTAGGACTCCAGTAAAGCCCTTTATTATTTGAGCGATGCTTATAATTGCGTTATTATTACAGTTTGACAAATTAAAGATTTTAAAAGATAAAATTATTTAAACTGAATTTATTTTTATTGAGATTTAACTGCATATTTACTATTTTTTTGTCATGTGTGCATTGTAATATTGAAAGATATTTGTAACGCACCACATAAAATCGTTTGCATCAGTGCACTACACTGTAATTGAGGTCTACACCGTCATAATCGTGTCCTGAGTTGATCATGGCCAAGCTAGCATTGCTTCAGAAATCCTCCAGATTGACATTCATTCCTGCAACACATGTTGTATTGTATTGACATGGATATTCCCATGGCACAGACCGTCGACCCGCACTGTGTTCGGACCTTAAGTCCGAGACTCGAATAAACGGATTTCATCTTGGAATCACCCTACTTGATGATATGTAGACGGTTCGGCCTCTCAAACTCTTTTGAGACACATTTACGATTCCTACGCGGTTCCAAGGATCATGACCTGCATATTCGATCCTCCGGAAGCCCCACAAGGCTCAAAATCCCTTTTGCGAGCTTCTCTTTTCTGGGGTCTGGCATGACCACGCCTAATTTGAGCGTTGCCACGCCTAAACTGAAAGTAGCCATGCTGAGATCTCCACGAAGAACATAAAAGGGTTGTGGTCTGCATGACCACGTTGTCCAAACAGAAACTACGACATAATTATGCCACAATATGGGCGTTCACATGCCCAAATCTCAGTAGGCGCTTGAATTCATTGATCAGTGTGACCACTCCGGTATGTGGTGCGACCACACTACTTAGACAGTGCGTCCAACATAATTATGCCAACCCTTGAAGTGGCCACGCCAGACCCCGATCCGTGACACCTTGAACAATGGTGTGACCACGTCCGAGCCCGATGTGGTCAAGTTACCCCGATCTGTTTCATGAATTTGGACCTCCGATCCTCGAATTCTCGTCGACAAGGCGACCATGATTGGTGGCCCATGCTCTATTGTTTCGTTTTTCACCTAAAAATGGCATGGGAGGTACATTGGGCCATTCCAAATTGAGAAAGCGGCTTTAGATACTTAGACTAACTCCCTATAGCTAAATAAGCCATGGAGGAGAGCTCGTTTGCACGGCCAATTGGTGATGACGAGAGCTGAGAGCAAGGTGAAGATTCAAGGAGCTTCTAAGAGGATTTCTAGAAGTATTCTTCTTCATCCTCTAAGAGAAGGCTAGGGAAACCATTTTCTTCATGTTTTCTTCCATTTCTTAGGCCATCTTCTTCGTCTTCGGCGACATATTGAGGAAGGCCAACTCTAGCAACCCCCTAGTTCTCTTCTATAAGGAGAGCTTCTTTACCACATGGGAGGGAGAAGGAATTTGGTCATGTTCTTCTTATCTGACGACATTCCGATGAGGCAACGAGGAAAGCTTCCTCACCGCTTTGAGGAAGGTGAACTCTGGCGAGGTTTTTATTCTCTCCTACTACTAGGAGAGCTTCTTCCCAGACACCATTAGACTTAGATCAGCCACCGCGACAGTACAACCTCCACAACCTTCAAATTTTCTTTCTTAGCCGACCCTAGGAGTAGACATTGCTAGGTGTTGTAGGTTTTGGTCACCCACACAAGGCGGGTTTTACCAATCATCTGGTCTCGTCTAGCTAATTCCACCGCTCGTTATCGAACGAGTTGATTGGCCAAACAATACCGATCAGACTGACCATATGCCTTTTGATTGGTCAAATTTGTGATGTCGGTGTGGCTTCGGTTGCCCTAACTAGGCAAGTTAGCATGCCGACGCTAGTTGACACAACATCACACATATTGATTGGTTAGTTATTTCCATGGAAAAAACTACCTAAGATTAGAGGGCCTTTGCAATTCCTTACAAAACCATGAGAAAAACCTATCCCTTTCATTTCTAGCACATAATCACAACATTCAGGGTCGTTGTAACCTCGCATTTGCGCCGATGATTTCGTTCCCATGGTGGAGGGGAACGAAATCCGTCAATTTGGGCATAGAGAACAAAAAGTTCCATGACTTTGACATTCCCTACA